GAGAAGTGGGCCACATTCGGAGAAGTGGGCCAAAATTCGGAGAAGTGGGCCTAATCGCCTGGGCTGTCGGAACAGCGGCTAACACCGACGAAGTCTGATAACCGCCGGGAGGATCTGTCGGCATTCCAGTAGCAGTAATTGGCGGTTGCCAATTGGTTGAGTTAGGTATAGCACTGGTAGTAAAATGAGCCGTTTGGCCACTAAGGGCTGACGTTGAGTATCCCACAGACTTAAAAGGCGAAAGGGGTTGACTACCCTGGCACGCTAGACTGTGAGCTGTCCGGCGGGCCGTACAATAAATTTGGCACTATATTCGGAACACATGGCTGGAAAACTACTGGTTTTTGATTGAGTAACTGATCCAAAATGGACTGTTGCTGCTGGAGTTTTTCCATAAGTAGTTTACGGTAGCTTCCAGAGAACTTGACGAATCGGAATTCATCCTAACCTTGTCAGCACTGGTACCGGCACTTGTCGATTGATGTTCAGAGCTAACGCTTTCTAAGTTGAAACTTCTCTCGTATCAGACGGGTTTTCCTCGTAGGAACTTAACGTGTCAACACAAATCACTGGATTAGGGCTAATCGGCAAGCCCGTATTCTTTAAGTTCGGCGACTAGCTGGACTATCGAAAGTCGCTCAATCTCTTCGCGCTTCATGCGTCCGGTATTGTGGTTCGAACCACAAGCAGCGTTGAGCAGAAGCCAAGGAGGCAACAAACGCAGCACAATTAAAATGTGTCGCAGTAATGAACAAAGCCAAAATGGCGGCAAACGCGACACGGTTAAGGTTCCGTTGCGATAATCTAAAGCAGCGTCCGACGGATGCCGAGCAACTACTAGAACTTCACTCGATACGGAGGTGAAGGCAAAACCGCTAACAAAGGTTTTTGTTAAGCGGGCATTAAACGCGACGCGGTCAGAGAATAGAGAACCGGCGCGGTTGAAGAAAATGGCTGACTCAGAACGACGTAACACATGGAAGATATATCCCACTTCTGAGGGCTGTAAGATATTTCGGATGGCAGGAATAACAGGAGAGATATAATAAGTAATTTATATAGGTAGAGGGTATAAAAGGGTAATACCATGAGACGACGGTCTGAGTATCGGGGAACAGTCCTTTTTATTATTGTACAACAAGAAACTATTATATTTATCTGCCCACACGGGTGCGTCGTCGTCACACACACAGCCAATCGGGTGGCGTGAAGTCTCTGACCAATGAAACAACGGGAACGCATGTCGCGGTGCCATTTCGCGCGAAGGCGCGAAATACAAATATTAGTGATTGCTTTACAATTATTTGTTATTATTTGTGATAATTTCATGATCTCCCATCGGCGCCCTTATAAAAATTTTTCATCGTTTTTAGCCCGTTTTTAGCCCGAGCGAATGGTTAATTTGAGTGGTGCATTTTACTCAGTGAGTATGACTCCGTTTTTGGTCGCAAACAGGAACTTTTCCGTAAAAATGAGTGGTTAAAACGGATTGCACTCATGCAGGACACGAGTATATCTGAGTGGTAAAAACGTATACATTATGAGTATTTTTGAGTGATAAAAACGTAAATTTGAGTGAAAAAACTTATACTAGTGTAAAATACTCATTTAGCATTCGTTACTCACATTGCACGTTTTCACCACTCGAAATTATTCGTCGTAAGGCATAACCGATAGCACGAGAAAATCAGCTCCGCTCCTGTCGAGATTCGAACCGAGGCCTAGGCCCCTATTCTCGAAAAGTATCGCATACGAAAAACTAGGGAAATACTATAGTATATGTTACGTACACTATAGTATTTCCCTAGTTTTTCGTATGCGATACTTTTCAAGAATAGGGCCTCAGGGTACCTATTCTGTAACTGTTTTACACGCTTACCGACATTTGTCGGTGTCGTTGCGCAGCTTTTTTACTATATAAAATATCTGCGCAACGACACCGACAACTATCGGTAGGCGTGTAAACAGTTACAGAATAGGGGCTCTGGTCTCCAAGTCTGCTCTACGAGGCTGCCACTTTTCCACTGAGCCACACAACTCATATATCGATATTCGCTTACTTATGTATCTCTTATATGAAAGGTTATAATTATTATACAGTACATTATTAGAAATGTAACCACGAGCTTCCTTTACATGTAAATGAAGCTTGTGGTTATGAACGAAATTAAAAATAATGAATGATTTAACTGAAAATTAAATTACAGTAGTTACTTAAATGTAATGAACGTGTACATTAAATTTATATAATTTAATGTACTTTTAATAAAATTTTATGAAAAGTACATTAAATTTCATAAATTTTCATGAAAAATATATTAAATTTTATGTATATGTACACAAATATACTTTTTAATTATAAATACATTAAATTCGACGTAATGTCATAAAATTAATTTCAAATTGTGTAACTTAACGCACGCACGCACGCACCTCAAAAAGACATTAGACATTAACATTTTACATATTTTGATTTTGAATGATTAACGAATTGATTTAAAAACGAATTGTTATATCTGTTTGAAATTTTTTTTTCCATTTTTTTTGTTGGCTTAAAATACGCTAAAACATCCCTAGATTCATAATCAATAACGTCCTTGTATAAAAACAACTTAGAAGTATTCTTAAAATTAATTTTTCTGTAACAACTCCGAAGCGTAAAAATAGCAAATTTCGATTGTATCGTCGACGCTGCATTTTTTAATCTCGCGCACATAAAAACGCCTCTAACTTACCGATCGTCGAGAATATACTTTAAAATTGAGTCATAGATATCATTACATACTATAAAACCATTATTATAGACTGAATACTACGTCTTTATCACTGTGAGAGCACGTGTTTCGTCAATCAGCTGTACGCTGCAGTTCGAGTTGTAGTTCCGTGTTTGTGCTATTATTTTGACTCTATTTATCAGTGAAAAGTAGTGAAATATGAGTGATAAGTTGTATGCAGGCCGTAAAGGCAGTAAAAATCGAAGTACAGCGCATAGACGAAGCAAAATCGGAAATAGATGCCCGCCTAACCGTCATTCATTTGAGTGCGGTTCGGAGTTCGTTAGCACGTCGTCGAAAAAACTGAAACTGGATGATGATAAGTGTGATAGGGATGTAGATGACTCTTTTCGGCTATCGATTCGTGAATTTTGTCACTGTTTTTACTGCCCTTTCACAAGTTGTAATATGTAAAGAGTGCAAAGGTGAGGTGTCATTTTCGGAGGGGAGCAGGCGTGAGCTCGGCTCTAAAATCATTGTAACCTGTAAAAATTGTGGCGATAATCCAATAAACAGTTGCCCACTAATAAATGACCGTGCATATGAAATCAATACACGTATTGTTTATGCAATGCGCTTGTTAGGCATCGACATCAATGGGATCAAAAAGTTTTGTGCTTTTATGGACCTTCCAAAGCCGGTTTTTCAAGTTACGTATGATAAGATCGTTTCCAATATTGCAATTGCTACCGCATGTGTGCGCACTTTATGTATGAAAAAAGCAGCTGAAGAGGAAAAACTGATGTCTATCAAGCACGATAACAACGATGGGCTTACAGTATCAGGCAACGGCTCATGGAGAAAGAGAGGTTTTTCTTCACTTTTCGGTATCATCACGCTAATTGGCTGGCATACCGGCAAAACTATTAATATTTTGACAAGTCTATTTTAATACATTTGCATGCAGATTAGGTAAATCATTTCAAATTAAACAACTTTTTTCTAAATATATTTTATATTTAATGTGATTACCCTAATCCCAAAAATAATTAAGGGACGTGATAGATTAAACTAGAACTCTGATGTGTATGCACACACACACAACGTATAATAAATAATGAATTATTATATAAATTCTATTTTAATTTATTTGAAATCGTACGATATGGTAATTAATAAATGATAAGTAAATGTACGAGTAAAGAGAAACGTCGTATTAACGTATTCTTACTCATCAGCTGAAAAGGGACAATCCACTCAAAAATACACATAGCGGAAAAACGAGTATTGAAAACGGACGATTCACTCAAAAATACTCGCGTATACGTTTGTCGTTCATCAGCGGAAAAACGAGTATTGAAAACGGACAATCTCCTCAAAAATACTCATTGCGTACTCGTGTATACTCATTATCGTTCCTTTATGATACACTGCGAGTGCTTGCGAGTGCAAGAAACGAGTAAGAATGGGCTAAAAACGGGCTAAAAACGGGCTAAAAACGGGCTAAAAACGGTCCATATGAGGTCTAAAAACGGTGAAAAATTTTTATAAGAACACCTTTCCTTTGCGAAGGTGTGAGCTGAACATATTTGATATTGGCCGTATTGTTGTTTGAAACTATGTTTTCACTTGAAATTTTACATTTTTATTATATAAACATTGTATTTCTTCATAACTGTATTATTTCTTTACAATTATAACATCTCTTTATGATTATGGGTGCTTTCCAGCAAGCACACAGACACAGTGTAATACAGCGTATCATTACATCCTTGTTATTTGCCTACGTTAAACAAGGATGAAACAATTCACTGTGTTACACAGTGTCTGATTATGTTCTTTCTGGAAAGCACCCTATAATATGAGATACATCAATATAGAATGTTTTGCGTTATTTTATGTCTATAAGTTTTTTAATAAGCGTACCATTTTCTTACATTGTGATTCGTGCTGCCATGGTGAGGGCAAGCTAACATGAATCAATCGAAAACATGAGCCGATGGCCTGACTCTGTTTTTCTAGGAACTCTAGAAAGTTCCTCTGTTGTGATTGGTGGTCGTCGATTTTTAAAAAATAACGGAAAAGAAATAAAAAGTTACTTTCTCAAGTAACGGTAACTGTAACGAGTTACTTTTAAAAATCGGCAACGAGTAACTCAAGTAACTGTAACTTGTTACTTTTAAAAAGTAACTTTTCTGGATATATGTTATGTAGAATATATTTAATTAAATTGGAAGTAATAAATGCTTCATTTATATTTTAATCAAGAATAATTGTCATTTACAGCGATCCGGATCGAGCAATCTTCGTTCCGTTTAAGAAGGTGGTGCTTGCTTGGTGCACCATTTGACCCGAAGCATCGATCACTATGGTCACCCCTCATATTCTATTCTCCCAGTATACTATGTAAGAATTGATGATATACAAGTCATACTTGTGGATGTTCATCTTCAAAAGCTAATCAGTTTCTGATTAGCGAGATGACTATTCTTAATCTGTGGCGATTCTATTATTCTACTATTCTCTACTATACGGAATCATCTAACTACTTGTTAAAGTTGTCGAAATTTGAAAACCTTCGGACACTAGTCTAATAGCGAATCTATCGAAATATGTATATTAAAACTCATTATAAATTGTACCTACAACATTCGATGTCTCTTCAAACGCAGCATTATGTGATTATAATTATATATATATGTATATACATATACGTATGTGTGTGTGTGTGTGTGTGTGTGTGTGTGCGCGCGCGCGCGCGCGCATGTGTGTGTGGTGCACGCGCGCGCACGTGTGTATTAGCTGACAAGAAAAAAAAATTTTTTTTAATCGGCCTTAATAATGCTTCCATTTCATACCAAAAAACACTTTTAAATTTTTATTTAAAAATATTGAGATTTAGAGATTGCTAGTGAACGATTTTTAAATCAAAGTTTTGATTTTTTTTAATGCATGTTTGATTTAATGCAAAAATGGCTTAATTCGGACTTTAAATGTGGTACTGTTTGTTTTTTTTTGGTCGCTGAACACGATGCAATAATTTAATTAGCTCTACGATATATAGCTAAAAAATATAGCCCTATTAATGTGAAAAAATAATCAAATTTTGAATTAAAAGTCGATTTTAGCAAGGTTCCAAGCGTTCAAATAAATCGTTACTCCTTTCAAATTGTAGGTCTGTTCACCCAGAAAAAGATTCAGTTGGAATTTCCCGGGACCTTCTACAGGATCTTTAAAAGATATGCACTTAACTGGATTATAAAACGTTTTTAAGGGTAGAGAAAGAATTTTTTTATAAATTCTAAAGTATATTGCTTTGTGGTTTTGACATCCTCAAATCAAATGCCTCAATTTGATAATAAAAAATTTTTTACTAGAAAATTAAATTAAAATCAACTATACAGAAAGTACAGGACTCTTAGAATTTCAAAAACAATAAAAAGATACTAAGGGCACATAAGAGTCAACATAATTACGCATGTACATAATTATACCATAATCAATGTTGCGCTTAGATAATTAAAAATTATCTAGATATAGATAAGATAAATTACACAAAAATGTATCCTAGATAAGATAAAGATGATTAATTTTACATTAATCTAGATAAAAGATAAAATTTAAAAAAATGTTATCTAGATAATTTTTAAAATAATTTTGTTTTTAAGTAAATATTAGGTAGTAAAACGATTTAGGATACAAAAAACGCGATTCCATATTTTTATAAATCTTTATTTTTTAAGAACAAAAGTTTTTCGAACATTTTGTCTGATAATCGATTTCTACGTGGAATTTGTTGTCCACAACTAAAAAAGCGCTCTACTGGCGCTGATGATGGCAATGATGTATTATACACAAAAAAATTTGTTTGACATGTGGATACAAATTAAGAATATTTATTTCTTTAGATTTATTTTCTAAATATGAAAGTACTTCAATATTGCTTTGAACGACTGGTGTCACACTAATCTCAGTTTTTTGTCTATATCACAAAAAAAATCCTCCTCACTACTACTAATACTACTACTACTGGAAGTTAATTGTTCAGTCTGACAAGGGGAGGGTGCGAGGTGTTACTCGATTTTGAAAAGGCTTATATATGTTAAAGTATTCTAGTAATAGAGTTTGGCAAAGAGATACGACCCAACTCTCAGCCGTTTTCGAGAAAAACCGGTTTAAAGTTTACACCGTTCCGTATATGCCGGTCGCGTTAAACCCATTGTCGAGAAGGCGGCGGAGCTCACGCGCTCAGTCGTGGACTACCAATCATCGACCCGGGTTCGATTCCTGCTTATTACACTTTTTTTTCCAAAAAAGTTTTTTTATTAATCAGGGTGATTTTTTTAACCTGAAACTTTCAAATATCTCGAAAAATAAGCATACTAAGAAAAAATGTTAAGAATCAATATTTCATCATTCCGAGGGTGACATACGCTGACGTTAAAATCAGCCCCCCCACACCGCCTCCTGGGCGGTGAAGGGGGGCAAGTTTGAAATATTAAATGGGAACCCCTATTTTTTATTGCATATTCGGAATCTTTGGCTAAAAGCACATACGATTTGTCTGAAACATTTTTCTCGATTCATGATAGATAGCGCTGTAATCGACGAAATTCAATTTCTTCGATTTCTCTTACTGAGAACCCATGCTTACGATTCTGCAATACATTAACAATAAAAATACCACGTTTTCATTGTTAATACTCGAAATTAGTCTTAAAACTTCTCACTATTTTTAATTACTCATTAATTACTTCTCAAAAAACTACTTTTAGCGTAACCCAGGAACAACAACGTGGACGTAGCAGTTTTCTGTTCCTTTTTTTAAATTTTTTAAATTAGACTGATTTATTGCAGATATCTATTTATTCCAGATAAATATTTATCCGATAAAACCGTCTTCGCTTTCTTCGGAGCAGGTTCACCCTTCGCAGCCCACTGTTTTGATTGTTCTTTCGTTTCAGGAGTGAAGTGGTGGACCCAAGTTTCATCAACCATTATTAATCGACGTAAAAAATCCAACTCGTTTCGCTTAAACCGCTCCAACAGGGCCTTAGAAATGTTCATTCGAATGCGTTTTTGATCCAGAGTGAACAAGTACCAAACGCGCGGTTAACTTACGCATGCCTAATTCTTCAGTCAATATATGACAAACACGTTCTTTTGATATGCCAACAGCCTTTGCTATCTCCTTAATCTTAATATTCGACGGTTGTCCATTATCATTTGATGAATTTCTTCGATGTTATCGGTGGTGGTCACAGTTGTTGGCCGTCTCGAACGCTCATCATCAGCTAAGCTGGTACGACTACGTTTAAATTCAGCTACCCATCTTTTCACGGTTGCAAATGATGGGGCGGAGTCCCCGTAAACAGCGTCCAACTCGGCTTTAATTTGCGTAGACGTATTGCCTTTCAAATGCAAGAATTTAATTATAGCACGATATTCAATTTTTTCCATTTTTACAAAATGACGACACAAATGATTGTCAAACAAGAACTGAACGTCCAAAGTGGCCACAATTGTTACAGATATCTTTCGTAAGTATCACGATTATAATACCAGAATGGCTTTGACGAGTAACGCCATCTTCATGATGATGCTCAAAACTTTTCAGACGACCCTCGTATACTATACACTCATAGATTCAATAAAAATTTCGACATTTGTATTTTTTATTGTACTACGAGGTGTGATCAAAAAGTAAGGTGACTTTTTGAATTTCGCGCGCTCTGTACACTCTAATTTCAAAATTTTTTTTTTGTTGTGTTGGTACACTCGTCACGATCATATGTTCACAGTTTTGACTATATAGCATGTGTTGTTTTTATGTG